AAGAAGTATTACTGTATAAATTTTACATAGGTATCTGTATCACAGATAATGGAATATATTATGAAAGAAAAAATTCTACCAAAGAGTATTACTGTATAAATTTTTACATAGGTATTGGTATCATAGATAATGGATATTTTCTCAGTTCAGTATTTTGAGCTGATAATGGTAATTGTAATTGTGATAATGCAATTGGTGATTTTTGTATAGATTTTTCTGTTATTTGATCAATTGATTTGTGATCTGAAAATTTAATTTAAATTTTAAATTATAATAGAAATTTTCGTAGTTTTTATATTAAATTTTCATAGCTTTAAGTTTTTTTTCTCTTTTTTAAATAAATTATTCGAAATAGTTAGTTTTTTATTAAAATTTTATCATTTCATCTTAATTCAATTCAATTATTTCATTCCTTTAAAAGCATTTCCTTTTGTAAAAATCTCTTAAAAAAATTAATTCATCAATTGCTTATTCATTAGAATATTTAAATATGAAAAAACGGGAAAAAACACTGAAAAAATGCTAAATATCATTTAAATACACAAATGTGAGTAAAATAAATTGTAAAATTTTGAATGAAATACCTGTCCCACTAAGACCAATAATTGGTCCACTTTGATTACTAAGCATTGGTGTAAATTCATTCTCATATTTTGTTAGATAATAACAATCAATATCGTATGGTTTTTCGTTATAAATAAGAAATTCACCATCTAATTAAAATAAAGGAACGAAAAAAAAAAGAACATTTTTGCATTTTCAAATTGAATTTAAAAAAAAAAAAGAAAAAAAAAGCGAAGAAAAGTTCTTGAAGTGTACTAAATGATGAAATAATCTTTCTCTCTCTCTCTCTCTCTCTCCCTCTCTATTTTTTTTCCTTCTTCTTTATCATAAAATATTTTGCTACAACATTGAAATAATTATCAATAAAATAATTAAAAAAAGCTATCAGTTACATTATTTTTTTTTCCATGACCTTAATTGACCTTTTAACAATTTTAAACTATAATTTGAAAATTAAATTTAAATAAATTACTTTCGAATGGTGAATGACATTTAGTACATGTAAAACAACATCTATGCCATAATTTATTCATTGCTATTACACATGTTTCACGTAAAGCTTTATTACAAACTGTAATAAATAAACAAAAAAAATTTTTTTTTTGAAATAAATAAATTTTGAAAATTTTAAATTTCAAAAGAAAATCCAACGATTTGTTAAATTTAATTAAAATAATTGCGCATTTATGAAAACATTAACTATTTCTTTTTTCTCTTCTTTTTTTTTTTAATTTTGATCAAAGTAGAATTGGATATATATATATATATATATACGTATTAGTGATAAAGTAATAAAATCAATGTAATTTATAAAAAAATAAATTTTTGCATAATTATTTATCAATCGTTATCATTAAAAGTTTTTTAGCTATTACTGATAAAATATGATAAGATAACCATTGCATTTTGGATGATATTCTTCCATATAACAATCAATACAAATTGGATAATTCCGATTACTGTGATATTTTCGAAATGCTCGTCCATTATAACCAACGAGACATTTACAACGAATGCATGTGAAGTGTTCCCGATGCCATATTTTATTTAATGAATAAATTATATTATGCTTAAATAATTTACATAATTGATACAATACCTTCTTTGATCTTTATTAAATATTTATCGATCGATTAATTTTATTGATTAAAATCAATAAAATTTATGATATTTCAGTTTATCGATAAACATTTCCATGGATAGTTTTTCCTTTTCATTTTTGTCTTTTTTTTTTTTTTTTGATTCTTAAAATCTATTAACAATTATGGCTATAAAATCTAAAAGTTGGCTAATTATATATCTAAGCTAGCTAGACTTCTTGTTTTGCTTTGCTTTGTTTCTTTTTTCCATTCCTAATTTTAAATATTAATTTGAAATTTTTTGATTTATAATAAAATATATTAAAATTGGTTATGTTTACTATTCATTTTTAATTGTTGGGATTTAGAATTAAATAGAAATACTTTGTGTTAATTAAATATAAAATAACAATTTACAATTTATGAATAATTATTTTAAAGATTTTAATTTAAATCGTTAAAATTTCAAATATTTGATTTTTTTTTTTTTTTTTTTTGAAAATTTAATAATTATTATCGTATACCATAAGTGCTTGCTTTCGTGTAACCGGCTCATTACAATTGTTACAACGAATTAACCATTTAGTTTTCTTTTTTTTTCATCAATTCATTTGATGCTATTTCAGTTAAACCTGTGGTTTTAAAAATTTTTGAAATAGAATTCGAATCACTTCCATTTTTCATTTCACCTGGCATTTTTCAATTTAAAATAAACAATGACACATACACACACCTGTAATTATATATTGCCGGTAATTTATCGTATTTCTTGCTAATTTACAATAAATTATTTCATTATACGTTTTACATTGAAGTAATTGCTGATAATAGTTTCGTTGTCTTATCGAGAAAATAATTTTATGACACTAATTAAATTAATTGAAAATAATTAAATTCATTGGGATAAAAGTGAAAGTTAATTATTCGCATGAATTTATCATCCTTTATAATTGCAAATTTAAAGCAATAATTACAAAGGTGAAATTACCAAAAAAAAAAACAACCAACCGATAAAGGTAAATTTTCATCAGTAATTACCTGTATTACATTTTCCATTTTAAATATTCTCAATAGATGAGAATTGTAAATTTTAACATATTTAATAATTGTTCAATGCTATGAATTTAATTTTGAAAAATTTTAATTTAAGGAAAGATTTAATTTTAATAAATTTTAATTCGAGTACAAAAATTTTAATCCTTGTTTCATTCTTGATTTTCTCAAAAATTTTATTCCTTCAAAATTTTTTCACCATTTCATTGCTGTTTTTCATTGAAAGAATAAAAATGTAAAGTAAGATAAGATAAGATAAGATAAGATTGATTAAGTTAAACTGAAACGACAGATGTTGCAATTAGGCCAAAACAATTTATAAAATTTCTTTTCTCATCTTTTGATAAATTTCTCAAAAGAATTCAATTTTCTTTTTTTTTTAGATGTAAAAATAGTTTTAACAAAGTAGAAAAAAAAAGCGATCAATTTGAAGCGCTGTGAATCACATTATGCCTCAAATATTATTATCTGTTGAAAGTAACTTTTGCAAAATATTTTTTCGTTTTTTTTTTTTTTAAATTTTGAACTTACCAAAAACTTTTCAAATTACATCCATTAATTTTCATTGCCAATTGTTCCATTCTTTTTTCCTAATATTTTAAAGGATTAGAAAACGATTTAAATGAATTTTTCAAAATAAATGAATTCGGATTATCTCAATTACACACAATTCATTGGATGATCATTATGAACAACAGTTGCATGATTTGCTGATTTATTATCATGGTTTATTGATTCATTATCATGATTTTGTTGATTTATTATCATGATTTTGTTAATTTATTATCATGATTTTGTTATACGAAGATATACATAAACTGTGCATTTTTGTTCGATTTCATTTACTTTCATATACCAATTGCGCATCATTTATTTTCGTATTTTTACATTTACTCCTCTTTTCTTTCCAATTTTTTCTTCTCATTTTTTTTATTTATTTTAGTAATATTTAACAATAAATTATATAGATTATGGCTAAAATTTTAGCTTAAAAAAGAATTTTAATTCCTAAATTTATTCATTTCAATTATTATTAAATAAAACGAAACAAAAAAAAAATTGCATCTATCAAAATCTTTCAATTTATATTCTTTTTTTTTGAAATGTTATAAATAATTTATTTACAAATATTTCTCAACATTCTTATTATTCATGGATAATTTATTCTCTCACTTTCTTTTTAATTTTCGTTTTTCTTTCTTTTCCCTTAAACTTTTTTTTTGATGGATGAAATTTCAAATTGTATTCGAGTTAATTTATTTATATTTAAATTTAAAATTTGCTTTTTATTTTATTTTTAGTTTTTTCAACAACAAAAATGCTCCAATTCATCTTCCTTGTGCTACTCATCGATACAATTTCCGGAATAGATTATGGTATTTTTACAAACTGATTTGTAATTATTTTTTCACATTTCTTTTTTTTTTTTGTCGGTGTAAAATAGTAATAAAGGTAAGGTAAATATACATAAAAGATAAAAGTACCATTGGAAACGATCTGGAATTAACATGTAAGAATGTTGTATATAAATTGGATAAACTTAACCTTTCTGAGAAATTAATTTACCTCTAAAAATTTGCATCTTTAAAGTTTATGAATAGATCATGTAATATTTTCTTGAATAATTTATATTTAAAAAAAAAAAAAAAACTAGGCTTTCTAACCGCATTTTAGACTGTCTTCCTGTAGCTCTCTTTCAATCTTTCCCCATGAACATCGCTTTGTCGCGAAGGAGAAGCTTGCGTACCCTTGCGAGGTTGAGAGCTAAACTGGCGGTGACATATGCTTCCGGTTGGGTCTCTCATGTTAGACAAGTGTCAACTAAAAGGTCAGACAAAGATAGGCATGCTAACTCACCAGCAAGCATCCTAGGTGAAGGACAACTTTAACTCTAAACCCAGGTAGATAGAAATCGTTTAACCCCGCAATGCCATACATCTGAAAGAAGGATACTCTAACAAGACCAACGTCCCCAGAACTTCACTGTCACCATCCTAGCTCGATAGGCCCTGGTAGATGAACCCTAGGAGTAAAGGGCTTGGGCCAATTTCGCTCTTTGTATCAGCTAAAAAATTCACTGCGCAGGGTGAAAGGATACATTCATATTTGTGGCGTTTAAAGCAAGCGCGAGTAGAGCCAAGTTCGCGAAGCTTGGCCACAATGAATCAAAATAATGTCCTAAAAATTTCCGAAATTCGCTCGTAACAATTACGCCAAAACATGCGGTTTTTGGTTATTTCAGTAATTCGGTTATCAAATTTAAAAAATCATAACTGTTTTTTGAAATTTATAAATATTTCTTCAGAAATTAAGTCATCAATAGTAAATTATCAATCACAACGATATCAATATCAATTACAAATTCAAATATGCATAAAAAGTCTCAATGTATAGGCATATATTGTATTTAATTTTCAGGTGTTTTATCTCGTAGTAGTACTGATAAGCATGGTTCATGTTATGATAAAGATCCTGAATGTTCACAAGATGTTTGTCGAAATTATCCTTATACAGCTAAGGAACGATGTCCTAAATTTTGTGGCTTATGCAGTGATTTGTCATCATCAAGAAGTAGCGATCATTTGTCATCAAAATTCTCATCATCACATCAACAAAGTTCATCACTGAAAAGCGGAATCATTGAATCATCAACAATTGATAAAGGTGATAATAAGTGATTTACGAATATAAAAAAAATGGAAAGAATTTTTTTTTCCATGGCTAAAAATTTATTCATATTTACATTTCAAAAATATTAATTTTAAAGTTTTAGGATAGCAGATATTTGCATATCAATGTTGCTAAAATTATATCTAAAATATAGATGCGGTTTAATGCTTAAAAAAAAATTTCCAAATTCAAAATTTTCCTAAATAAAAATTGAATTTTTCCTAATTAAAATTTTTATGATAAGTTATTTTTGTATGTAATAAAGTTGAAAGCGCATTTGTCTTACAGTAATTCTAGTGATGTTGCAAATCACTTGGTCAAGGGTTAAAGGGTATGCTTCAAGTTGAATTTGTCCATTGTTTATCGTTTTTTTTATTGTAGAAAGAAAATCATTTTCGTCTTGTGTTTGATCAAAAACTATAATTACACCATGGAATTATATCATAATTATCCATTTGTGATAAAGGAAGGATGTACCAAGACGTATGGCCTAGGCTAAAATGATACCAGTAATTTAGGCACAATTTTTTCAGGTTATCATACAACGATGAGAATGGATAAGTCTAAAGGAGGAACAATTTCATCATTATCACCAGCCAAGGTCCAATTTTATTTCTGTATCCTTGTAAAATATCTTTAGGAAATAAGGATCTTTTAGAATGAAACAATAGATTTTTTTTTGCTTAATTAAATTACAATAAGTGACATACTTAATGCTTAATTTTTGCTTAATTAAATTACAGTAAGTGATATAGTGAAGAAATCCTAGGATTAGGATTGTAACAAATGTCACAACAATTTTCTAATTTAATATAAAATCTTCCAAAAATATATTTACAGGAAGTGAATCACTTACTGGTAGTTTATGCTACGACAAAAATATCAACTGTAAAAAGGAAATATGTCGAGATTTTCCTTTCACCGCTAAAGAACAATGCGCTAAAACATGTGGATTTTGTAGTAGTGATGGAATAGCTAGTCCTTCAATGTCATCATCCTCATCAGATAGAGCATTTGGTACGATGTCACCAAGTCGTTATGCATCTATTCGAATCAATGAACGTGATGGTATTACTGGAAGTGATGGTAGCATTTCTTCTCATCATTCCCCTAAACATGAGGATTATAAAACTTCTCACGATCTTCCATCACATTCTACACTTTCAAAAGGTTCTATTCTAGACTTGTTGCCTATTTTATATTAATATTATCATTATTATTACTATTATTATTATTATTATTATTATTATTATTATTATTATTATTATTATTATTATTATTATTATTATTATTATTATTATTATTATTATTATTATTATTATTATTATTATTATTATTATTATTATTATTATTATTATTATTATTATTATTATTATTATTATTATTAATTATTATTATTATTATTATTATTATTATTATTATTATTATTATTATTATTATT